CACCTTCCTCTTTAAAATCAGGGCAGAGAGTAACAAACAGGGACACACTTGTTGGGGTTTCTTTAGAAAAGAAAACCTGATGTTTCTTATCTCCCAAAATCACTTGGGCAGGAGGCTGTATTACAGGTGTCTGTGGGTGGTGCTGTCAGAGTCTCTCCCGGAGTCATGGCACTGAGTCACCTTCCCAGAGGCCGAGTTTAGAAGCTTTCAGAAATGACTTTTCTCCAGTGTGGTCACTGGCCTTGGTTAGAGCAGAGGGCAGTGCCAGAGGTTTCTCAGACATCTGGCCAACAGAACAACCCTCTGTGTCAGCTGCAGTGCCAGCACTTGTCATCCTGTACAAACTGACAGATGAGGAGTGAATTCAGGCTGAGGTGGCATTTTAAAACGGAGCTCTGCTCTTCAGGCTGAACCGTGCTTTCTCCGTGGCTGGTACTACACTACAGCCATTCAGACTTGCTCTTTTTGCTTCTTCCTGCAACAAAAACGATTCCAGCTGCATGTAAGTGCAGAGGAGTGCCAGCTGTGTGCATTCTGTACCAGCAGAGGCCAGTGTCACCCCCTTAAATCCACCCATGGCTCTGGCAGTTCAAGTGACACAAGAGAGTGGAGATAACCTGACCTTTCCTGGGTGGGTTTGCACTCCCAGAGCAGCAGCTGTTCTACCTCATCAGCAGAAACTTTTACACTACCAAGTTCTTCCAGGGGCAGCAGTCAATGATGCCATCGTTGGCAGCAAGCTGAAACAAGCTTTGACATAACCACGTGAGGAGGGGAAAGAAATAAAAACCCAAACCAAATTTGGGTGGAAAACAACAGAGAGGAGTGACTGTTTCAAATTAAGTTCCTTTTTTTTTTGTTTTGCTCTGTTTTGTTTTGTTTCACCCCCACACAGAAAACTCCACTCACGGCCAAGGTCTCCGGGTGTGAGAGGTGAGCCTGTGAAAGCAGATTCTGTGATTTTCAAACGCAGAACAAGAAATGGTAAGAGGAAGAGGAAAGCAAAAGTGACTGTACAAAGACAATTCAACCAAACCAGCTCGAGCTTCCCAAGACAAAGTGGACACCGACATGGAAAACGTCCTCGAACGGAACCTCCCGTGAAGGAGGTGAAGAAGGAGTAGCCATTAAGAACCTTATGTTCTTAATTCATCTTCCTACTATCCCTTGTAAAGCATTTCTGAACAATAAACAATATAGGCCAGAAAAAACCCTGATTTAGTGTGGTTTTATTTACATGTGCTGTATATCACAAGCCAGGGCAGGTCACTGGACATTAACTTGGTTGGCCACTACCTCAGGTGGCTGCCTTTGACATGGGTTTTCTTTCTCATTCTGTGTGCATCAAACAGCCCAAGAAAATAAGAACAAATCTTGAAAGGTAAAAGTAAAAAGAGGCAATAGTTGTAAAAGAAATAAACCCCAGGAGATGTGTCACAGGTGAGTTGCAGGAGTCTCTCATATTGGCATGTCTGATGAAAGAGCAAATGGTGTCTGGGCTGGGTTTGGCTGGGGCAGAGTTAATGTCCTTCCCAGGGGCTGGCATGGGGCTGTGTTTCGGATTTGTGCTGAACACAGGGATGATAATGGAGATGTTTTTGTTATTGCTGAGCAGTGATCACAGAGAGCCAAGGCCTTTTCTGCCTTTCATACTGGCGAGGGGGCTGGGGGTGCACGGGAGGTTGGGAGGAGACAGAGCCAGGACAGATGGCCCAAAAGGACCAAAGGGATATTCCAGCCCACAGGACATCATGCTCAGTGTATTAAGTGGGGGGAAGAAGAACTCGGGGGGTATGTTTGGAGTGATGGTGTTTGTCTTCCCAAGCCACCATCGCACGTGACGGGGCCCTGCTCTCCTGGAGGTGGCTGAGCACCTGCCTGCCCATGGGGAGCAGGGAGTGGATTCCTGGGTTTGCTTTGCTTCCATGTGCTGCCTTTGCTTTCCATGTTAAATTGTCTTTATCTCAACCCATCAGTTTTCCAGCTTTTACCCTTCCGACTCCCTCCCTGGTCCCTGGGGGAGCGAGTGGCTGTGAGGGGCTTGGGTGCTGCTGGGGCTCAACCAGTTTTTCATTGGCTGAAAAACTCAGGATGCAGGAAGTACGTTCCCTCTCCCTGTTTTCAGGTTTCTCAGTCCTTGAAAGGAGACTTGCAAGCCCTCTATGGTTTATTTCCCCCTCCAACTCCAAAGCAAGCTCTTCATCCTTTCATCCCAACATTGCTGCCATACAGCTTTGAAAATGGAAGGATTAAGGGTGAACAGAGTATTTTTTAGGAGGGAGGTTGTGAGTGGGGTGTTGAATGGATGAGCTGCTTTTTTCTTCTCTAGCAGTTTTAGGGGACATTGGCAGGAGAAATCATTTCACTGGCTTCTTTACAGATCACTGCTCAAGCTGACATCACACCTGACTTTGAGAAAATTGTACAAAGGCTTCACCCTTTGCCCTGAACCTCAGAGAAGAAAGGAGTCCACGCCTCTACAACCCTCTAGCTCAGCGAGGTGGTCACAGGGGTCCTCCTGCACCCCCTCCAAAGGGAACAGCACCCATCTGCTTCCACTGAAAAAAGTATATCCCCCCCCCAGACCCTCTAAAACAGGCCTTGGGTTTGCTGTGCAAACTTGAAATCTTTTAGGAAAGGAATAAAAAGAGCCCCAGGTTTCCAACAATAGCTTTCCTACATTATTTGAAGGAACAGTGGGAATTCTGTGGGAAAATGTGACACCTGGAGAGCTTTTACTTGCAGCAGGGTTCATTGCTCAGCTGCTCATTCTGTAACATGGTTTGAAGTCTGATTCCTTACTAGAATCAGACTTCCATGTAGGATTGCTTCACCTCTCTGATCCATAAGGAAAGTGCCAGTTATACTTGTTACAGAGTTTTTGCTGCCAAATGCTTCCCCAGCATCTTAGACCTGAGGCTCAGGTGAGCTAGTGTTTTTTGAGGCATGGAGCTGCACAGACGTATAAATTCTCCAATAATGCAAATATTATGAATACCTAGAAATGTTTAATGCAAAGCAGATAAGTCCAGGTGAAGAACTGGGGGGTGTAGTCCTGACTGTACTTTGTCTATGTGCATTAAGTTCTCTTTGTGGGTGCATTTTATGATGAGATGACCAAGTTTCAGTGATTTTTTTTTTCCACCAAGTTTCAGTGATTTTTTTTTTTTCCTGAGGACACATACTTGTTTTTCCACACAAGTACGTGTCCTCAGAAACGCTTGATTTTCTCAGAGGCACTTCACTCACATTCAGCTAGCTGGGAATCCCAAACATAACAATCCTTTCTCTCATGTGCTTGTGCTTGTGTGTTCAAGCCCAGTGAGTGTTTGTGTCAGTGGGTGGTGAGAACTCGCGTGTTTCTGAAAGGTTTCTGCGGGACACAGGAACGTAAGTGGCGGTGTTATGTCTGACTTTTTAAAAATCGTGTTTAATATGTCATAATAACACACAAAAAGCGCTTGGCTTTTACCCGTGCCCTTTCAGTTCTCGCCAAACCACCACACGGTGGCGGTGGGGACTCGCAAAAGGAGTCAGTGTATGAGGACCAAACCCGCCAAAGGGCAGATCCAAGCGGAAAACATCACTACTACCCTGGAAGAAACTACGTCAGGACAGAAAGGTTTGCCTGACCTTCCCCTTTCGTGTGCAAACTCTTATTTGCACCACACTCGAGAGCCAGCACGGACTCCTTTCCAGTTACATGTACTAATAAATTTGTTCACTCTCGCAGAATTCCAGCTACATAATTGAAAACATCCCACAAAACCAGAGCTCACTGAAGGGCCTCGTTGTTCACACCTGGGGTGTGGGTGACTCCCCTCAGTGCTCCCAGTGCCCTCCCACTGCTCCCAGTGTCACTCCAATAATTCCATGATTCCACCTCTTCCTGGGGCTTTTCTCTTTCCACAACGTGCCGTGGGGCTGCTGACAGTGAATCCCACAGCCAGGAGCACTGCAAAGCTCCTCATGGTGTGGGCACAATGAAGAGCTCAGAAAGGCTGAGTGTGACTCTGGCTGCCTTCTGATGGGGAACTGCTCTGCTCTTCCCAGTCTTCTCCACTACCTGAGAAGAGGGAATGATGTAACTTTGCTCTAATATCACTCAAAATCTTTGAATGGGGTTCTGAGCAACCTGGGCTAGTGGAAGGTGTCCCTGCCCATGGCAGGGGGTGGAATGAGATGACCTTTAAGGTCCCTTCCAACCCAAACCATTCTGAGATTCTATAATCTACTACTGAGGTATCTTACTGCTATAACAGGGTGATCCTAAGGCTCTGGTAAGGGTAAAGAATTTCCTCTAGCCTGAAATCATAGAATCATAGAATCAGGGACCTCCGAGATCATCCAGTCCAACCCTTGATCCAACACCACTGTGGTTCCCAGCCCATGGCACTGATGCCACATCCAGTCTCTTTTTGAAAATCTCCAGGGACGGAGAATCCACCACTTCCCTGGGC